GCAGGAATAATCCTGGGAGTGGTAGAAAGAGAACATTTTTTATTTGATACTCTCTTCCAGGTTCCTCAGGGAAAATTAAATTCTGGAATTAGTTTTGGGTCTTTGAGTATAAAGATGTCCCAAAACAAAGTGCTGATACAGCTTGCAATAAGTAAAAGAGTTGAAACAATTTGTCTTCTTAAATGCTGAACCCTGGAAATGAGCATGTAACTTTTTATGTTTCATTCAAAAAGTACTGAAGACCATGATGGCAGAGAACTAGAAGATGGTGTGCAACGTGCTAGGTGAATTCCCTGAGGAAATAAGGGGACCCTTGAATGGGTCCTATTCTCTGATTTTACAAATCAAGATGAAGCATCTGTCAGCTGCAAGAGCCTTGAGCAGATCTCAGTGTTCATAAACAACTCTCTATTGAGGTAATGAGCAATCTGCTTCCATTCTCCCCTTCTCATTCACCTTCCTGACCCTCACTTGGCCTTCAGAAAGTCAGACTTTACTTCCTCTTGGAGTCTCCCTGACTCCACCCTCCTTTCTATTTTTAACCTCTGAAAAGCAATGATCATATTGTATGGTCATTGTCACTGCTCTCATCCTATCCCTTCTTTTTCCTAGCACTTAGCCCAATACTTGGCATATAAGTGCTCCAAAATATGAAAGAGTAGATATTTCTTCTTGAGGAATGAAAGACTAATATGCCCAAGGAAAGGATCTTAGTGACCAAGACAGGGCTGTCAATGATGCCATCTAAGTCTTATGATGTGTATTCACTGACATTCCACGTTTTAGATTCCCACTGCATACCTTGACCAAGTTAGTCATAGAAGCACGAAGATATTTTGGTATTATTGCTAATAGCAAAGGGTCACGGGATAGGATCTCATGCCGGAAGAGGGCTCCCCAAGTCATCTGAGTTGAAGAGCGCAAAAACTAAAGGGAAAAAAGAAAAAACTCAGTTTAAGGATTTGGGTTTTATATACCAAGACTATTACTTAGCTCAGCAATTATCCACTATATTTTTCCATGGAAATAAATATCTGTAATACTTTGAAACTGCCCATACTGTAGTACAGCAGTAATGACTGCTCACTATGGACTGTATGTTAATAAGACAGACTGGGTCAGGTGCAATTCCCAGAGTATGAGCTGAATTCTACCACTTTGTGTTTTATGCAAGAAATGATACAGGAACCTCAGGATGATATTACAGGGAAAATCTTGGATTGGATAAAACTTAATTTTATAATAACACAATTAATCAGACTTTGTATTTAAAACGTCTTTAGTGGTAAATCGCCTGGGACATACCTCATATCTGATTGAGCCTTATCAGAATGACACTACCTGAGGGGTAACTGCTGACCTAGACTGTAATGCTTAGCTCAGGAAGAAGACTCAGCAATTTTCTTAATGAAATGCTACTACAGTTATTCCCTAGGATCTTAAGAGTCACATTTTGTACTTCAGCTGCTAATTACTTCAGGCCATAGTGCTTGATTTTAATTTACCTAACTAAAATTTTGAGAAGTCACCTCCATAAAGTTTACCTGACTTGGGTGAGTTGTGAAAGCCAGAAAAGATTCCAGGTATTTTCCAAAGTTTGCTGGTGTTTCTACATCAGAATCCACACCCTGTAGGACAAAAAGACCACTACATTAACGAGGTTGATGGGGAGGTCAGGGTAGAGAGTGGAGTAACAAATACAGACAACTTATAACCTCAAAAATTTCAGGTTTGAAAGGACTTTATACTTCCTTGTGGCCTAAGGAAGGCATCATTTCAAGGGCTAAAACACAGGAAAGCTGTTTTACCTCCTTAACCATCATCATTAAAACCTATTCTGTGGTCAAATAGTAAAACAAGAGTATTGATTTCAGAAATCCGTATATTTCTTCAGATCTACTCTTGTCACATCTCTGTGACCTAACCTATTAAATAACCCCTTGACGGTACACATCTTATGTCTGAAGTTCCATCCTCTCTAGCCATTCAAGCCACTACAAAAAGGCATAACATCAAGCGCAAATGTCTGTACCAATATCCTTTTAACACTTAAGACTGAGTAGTAAACATTTTCCTAAAGACAGTTAATTCCAGGTCAGTCAGACTAAAGTTTTCTTTTATGATCTAATAATACATCCTTTAGATTTGGGAAAAGTGTTCTTTATTCAAATCCATAATGTTTCATGACCTAATAGGACTTTAAAGGGTAATGCACTCGGCAGACTGAAGTTTTACAAGTACCAAAATGAACAGGAGTAGCAACATTGACTTTAGTCAGATGTTATAACAGATGGAATAACAGATGTGAATGTTTACTATTGACATTAATAATTGATTTGTTAAAAAAAATCTATATCATTCAAACTCAATTAAAATAATTTAATCTATAGAATTATAAGAAATAATCTGTATGGAAATGCCCCCTCAGGCTAAAATCAATAGCATGTGTCACCCCTTACACAAATATAACTTTCTAAATCCTCTCCTCAAATGGCCCTGAAACTCTCCAGAAAGTGCTCACCAGCAATGCACACAGCTGATTGCCCAGCGCACACAACACCTGACAGAGTCTCTTCAGGAAGACATAGTGTTTTTCTACCAAGCCTCCTCCGTCAGCAGTCCTGAAGAGGAGAAAACAGTGTGATTAGCAGCACATCAAGAGCACCAAAGAGAGTCCCATGGAATGGAGCTGTATGTGGTCTGTGCTCCAACATTCAAATTTCAGTTGATTATTAAAGTTAAAAAAAAAAAAATCAAAAAACAAAACCAACCCAAAAACCTCCAACCAAACACTGAAAGATCGATGAGGAATAGGGTTCAATGCCATCTCATCCTTCAAGAGACACACTAATTTTGGGTAATGCAGTCCTTGAGTACTTTGGGATAATACTGTAAACTCTGAGCATGACTCCACAAAGCAATATATATACTTATATGCATAAAAACTGCACAAAAAGACATTGGTTGATACTGAGGAAGGACTTAGAGAGATCTCTAGGGGAGCATACAGTAATTCCTTACACCACTGACGAAATCAAAAGGACTATAATCAAGAGAAAGAAAAGACAAGTAACAGACTAGGAGAAAATATTTGCAAAAGACACATCTGATAAAAGACTGTTATCCAAAATATACAAGAACTCTTAAAACTCAATAAGAACAAAATCTGATTAAAAAATGGGCCAAAGACCTTAATGGACACCTCACTAAAGAAGACACACAGATGGGAAATAAACATATGAAAAGAAGCTCCACATCAAATGTCATCAGGGAATTGCAAATTAAAACGAGATAGCACTATACACCTATTAGAATAACCAAAATCCAGAACAATGACAACACCAAATGCTGGTGAGGATGTGGAGCAACAGGAACTCTCATTCATTGTTGGTGGGAATGCAAAATGGTACAGCCCCTTTGGAAGACAGTTTGACAGTTTCTTACAAAACTAAACATACTCTTACCATATGATTTAGTAATCACACTCCTTGGTAATTACCCAAAGGAGGTGAACACACAAAAACCTACACACGGATGTTTATAGCAGCTTTATTCACAATTGCAAAAATTTGGAAGCAACCAAGATGTCCTTCAGTAAGTGAATGGATAAATAAACTTTGGTACATCCAGACAACAGAATATTATTCAGTGTTAAAAAGGAATGAGCTAACCAAGCCATGAAAAGATGTGTAGGAACTATAAATGCATGATACTAAGTGAAAGGAAACAATCTGAAAAGGTTACATACTATATGATTACAACTATACAACATTCTGGAAAAGGCAAAACTATGGAGAAAGTAAAAAGATCAGTGGTTGCCAGGAGTTTGGGTGGGAGAGGAGGGATAAACAGGCAGAGCACAGAGGATTTTTAGGGCAGTGAAAAACCTGTAAGATACTATTATGATGAATATATGTTATTACACGTTTGTTGAAACTCAGAGAATGTACCCATAAAATGTATAACAGCAAGGTTAACCCTAAGGTAAACTATGGCCTTTGGATGATTATGATGTGTCAATGTAAGTTCAACAGCTCTAACAAATGTACCACTCTGATAGGGGATGGCTATAATGGGGGAGGCTATGCACGCGTGGGGGCAGGGAATATATGGGAAATCTCTGTACCTTCCCCTGAATTTTGCTGTGAACCTTAATCTGCTCTAAAAAAACAAAATCTTTTTTCAAAGATGGTATTAAAAACGTAACTTGGTATCTCATTTCTCCAAGTCATTTAGTTCAGATCAGTAATCACTTATGTGCTATTTTAGAATGCAAATACCCCTTTAAATTAAAAAAAAGATTATTTGGTGGCAAAACCTGACCTACAATGATGTAGGACGATTTGCACTAACAAGAATTAATAAGGGGGCTTCCCTGGTGGTGCAGTGGTTGAGAGTCCGCCTGCCGATGCAGGGGACACGGGTTCGTGCCCCGGTCCGGGAAGATCCCACGTGCCGCAGAGCGGCTGGGCCCGTGAGCCATGGCCGCTGAGCCTGCGCGTCCGGAGCCTGTGCTCCGCAGTGGGAGAGGCCACAACAGTGAGAGGCCCACGTACCGCAAAAAAAAAAAAAGAATTAATAAGGACTGGTGTGGACAGCAGCCATATTAGCGTGTTCTGGAGGCAGTACAGTATAACATAAAAAGCACGGGCCTCAGGGTAAGAAAGACCTAGGCTCTAGTGATGTTGAAGGACAGCGTGGCATCATGGTTTCTAGTGCAGGCTCTGAAGTCTGAGTTTGAATCACAGCTTTACTAACCAGTACCAGTAGCACAAATGGAGATGGAACACCTCAGTGTCTCTAGGGAATTAAGAAATGGGCCCTGGAAACAGTAACTACAGTGGCCACCCAAAAGACATGTTATTAATTTAATTAACAGGACTCCTTAAAGACAAACCTGTAGTATCCACAGGAAAGAGCCATCATAAAAGCTATGTTAGAATGGACAGCAAGAAATTTTAAGTAATATATCTGTGTCTCACATCTTTTCATTTGCCCCTGGCACCAAAAGTGAAGAAAGAGTATTGAAGAAAAATGGGTGCTGTGACAGTTTCAACTACTGTAATACACAGTTCTACCTGACTCCCTGGTAAGAAATACATATCAGGAAATGCTTTAACATTTTTCAGAGCGATTAGAAGAAAATAAGCAGAAGCCACTATTTCAGAACATAGAACGTTTTTACAGAATTTATACACATATTTCACACTGACCACATTGTTCCTGCTGCTTCCTAGAGCCTCAGCACTTCAGGCATTGATTACTTTGACAAGGAGAGAGGGAGGAGTGTCTCAAGTTCTGCAATCAAGGAAGGCCCTGGGACAGACTCTGGTCAGATCAGAGCATTCTCTGGCCTAGTCACCAAGGCTACTAGGAGGCTTAGGGATCATCAAAAGCAGACAAAGAGGGGCTTCCCTGGTGGCGCAGTGGTTGAGAGTCCACCTGCTGATGCAGGGGACATGGGTTCGTGCCCCGGTCCGGGAAGATCCCACATGCCGTGTGCCCGTGGGCCATGGCTGCTGGGCCTGCACGTCCGGAGCCTGTGCTCCGCAACGGGAGAGGCCACAACAGTGAGAGGCCCGTGTACCATAAAAAAAAAAAAAAAAAAAAAAGCAGACAAAGAGAACCAAGGAGATGAGCTGTCTGGGGAGAATGTGGAAAACTGTGAATGTGAGTGGATGCTGAGTCAACAGCCATAACTTATTTCCAGCATAAGATCTTCAAAAAGGTGAAACAGTCCCTTTAAGAGTGCCTGATTTTCCTATTAAAAACACAGTCAACTGACTGCCAACAGTCAAACAGGAACTTCAGGTACATCCAAGTGAGATACAAAAATGACAAAGAAATTAGAAAACACATAGAAAAGAAGATACTCACTGCGCAGCGGAGAGTATATAATGCATGGCAACATCTCCAAATAAGACCATCAAGGGCTTCCGGTCTTCCAACTTGCCCTAGACCCGATTTTAGGGAAACACAGGTAATAACTATGTTATTAAAAACCTCCAAGTACTAACAAGTCTATACCTATAAAACCAAATATACTGACTTCCTAATTTCTCACATAGCCCTGGGGCTAACGGAACACTGAAAAAAAACTCTTTAAATCCAAACCTGGATAAGACTTATATTTTAAAATGTGTTGGGCAATAATGATGATATGAAAACAAAACAAATTACATCTGAAAATAACATTCTTATGGAGAAAACAGTCACAATCCCATTTGTTAGCCAAGACAGCTATAAAGCCAGTATAGTCACCTTCTACAATTCTTTTGACGTAACACTATGTGAGTTTTAAAGTTTAACGTTACGCTTATATAGTTTCTTAAGCATGAAGTACCAAGATTCACAGCTCTTTCAGGAACCAAGTAGCCCTACAAATCTCTATATATCCTGACAGTGGATTCCTAGGATATCGGCAAACTGTTCTCCAAAAGGTTGGAGGCAGGTAATTAAGTTGGTGTCAAGTAAAACAAAAAAACAAACAAGAAAACCCAAACCTTTAAATGTCTTTCACCACAACGTGGAATTAAACACACATATGCATCACTCAGAGACTGTCAAAGTCAGTTTGAAGTGGTAACTTACTATCCTGCTGACTGCAATGAGAAGACACTCAGCTGCTCCCAGCTGAAGTTCCTGTTCGTTCAGAAGCAGGCACAGCATCTCCAGGAGTTTACAGTTTTCAGCAGTAATGTGACTCATGGACACCCAGTCAATGTAGCCCGCTAGAGTATTCAGTGCTGCAATTCCTACTCGACAGTTTGCTTGGGCCTGCATGAAAAGAAGTAACTTTTAGCCATTAGGTCCTCACTAACAGACAAGAAAGCTCTGATTATACCCGAGCTCCTTCTACTTTCTAATTCTAAAAAGAAAAACAAACAATAAAATGTACTCATGCAACTGTTACTGATAGGCAACTCAAAGGTTTTCATCTGATACACAATCACTTATCAAATGATGGCATTCTTGATGCCCATCAGTAAGACTATATTGGCATGTGTGGCCATTTTATGTCCTTCAAGAAATCTCAGATATTATCATTTTAACTCCCTTCCACCATAGCTCAGTGATCAAATAAACCAAGGCTGAAGGAATTCCCTGGTGGTCCAGTGATAGGACTTCTTGCTTTCACTGCTGAGAGCATGGGTCTGATCCCTGGTCGGGGAACTAAAGCTCCTACAAGCCGCACGGCACAGCCAAAAAAAAGCAAAACAAAAAAAAAACCAAGGCCGAGGTCACCCTCCACTAGGTATATGCATCCCTGTACCTGAAAGCCTCAAAGAAGCCTCCTTCCAACTCCACCAAGAGCTCTTACCTTTGACTCCTGAGAATTATCTGTCTTCTGAAAGAAAAGAAGTATAAGGATCTAAATGTTTTTAAAGAGCTAAAGGCTATGTAATAACTTTCCACCCCCATAATCTAGGCCCTTTGAACAATGATTTTCAAATACTCAACTTTTAATCTTGGAGAAGAAGACAACTTTACTAAGAACACAAAACTGATATTCTCCCAAAGGAGGACGGGTTATTTTAGTTTCAGCAATATGACAAAATCTACCAGAACATTAAGATCCACAAAGACCGTTTCAACGCACACAGTTTACAAAGAAATACAACTAACAGATGAACAATGAAGCAGGCTCAACATTACTAGTGATGAAAGAAATATAGTTTAAATCAAAGTATTAGCATTTTTTCTATATTAAAATAGAGACAAATTATAACTGGCAAAGATATACTGAAATGATGTAAGGTTAATGGAAAAAAGCGAGAAACAAAATTAAAATGAGTACAATTTATGACCGTGTATGTAGGGACATAACTGTAGGAAAACCGCAAACACAAAAATATTAAATGCTAAACAGACCAAAATAATGTCTGTTCAGTAAATTATACAATTTATAATTTTACAAGCAGGAATAACAACTCCTGAAGTACTTGAAAACTTACCACCATTAGCATCATAAAGGATTTGTTTTACAATTCCTTTTCTCAACTTTCAAAAAGTAATTTTTCTAACAAAGAACAAGTATTAAGCCCTCACCATCAGTGGCCAAAGAGCAGTGTTAATGGGGCAGAGATGAGTAGAACCCTCTCACCAGCATCTACTGATGCTGCCCAAGAAGGAAAGGGATCCAGGCAACAACAGCTTAGCCCAGCCTTCACCATCTCCTCCAACACATCCTGCTTTCCCATTCGGATCCTATCCTCCTGACCCCTGGGACCAGTACAGGCGCCAGGTGATGGACAGGGAGAGTAAGCCTACTCATCCCATCCTTGTTTACCATTCAGCCTACTCCCTAGGTGGGAAGGTGAAGGGATGGAAGCAGAGAAGAAACTATGAGGAAACTGAGAAGTTTCAGGTACAAGAGATGTCCCTTGGTGTGCTCTGGTCCTGGTAGAACAGATGGAGACAATGGACACCAAGGCTAAAGAAAAACACCAGTGGATGTACTTCTAACTTGTGTCAGACCATCATCAATCGGCCCTGCTCTGGCATGTTGGCTAGATTTCTAGGGCACTGAAGCATTCATAATTTGTTCATGTCTCTTAGGGATTAAATCTCCTAGGGGAAAATGAAAAGAATACCTCTTTGGACTTCCCTGGTGGCACAGTGGTTAAGCATCTGCCTGCCAGTGCAGGGGACACAGGTTCGAGCCCTGGTCCAGGAAGATCCCACATGCCGCGGAGCACCTAAGCCCGGGCGCCACAACTACTGAGCCTGCACTCTAGAGCCCGTAAGCAACAACTACTGAGGTCCACACGCCTAGAGCCTGTGCTTTGCAACAAGAGAAGCCACCGCGATAAGAAGCCCGTGCACCGCAACAAAGAGTAGCCCCCACTCATCGTAACTAGAGAAAGCCCATGCAGCAATGAAGACCCAACGCGGCCAAAAAAAAAAACCCAACCTCTTTCACCCTCAATACACATAGGTTTTTAAATGCAAATACTTTGATATTTTCTTTTGTAAAATCCCAGGGAGATATCTGGGGGGAAAGAGCATTCTGGTAAAAAGAATGGGGCGTGAATTCCACTACTATAATCAATTAGGGGATCTTCAATAATTATTCTCTGAAATTCAGTTTCCTCATCCATAATATGGAGACAATACTTTCTGACTCTTAGGATTGTTTTGAGGATTAAATAACATGTAAAGCAAGAAAAAGTATATAACCATTGTAAAGCAATTATACTCCAATAAAGATGTTAAAAAAAAAAAAAAGAAAAAGTATATAGCATATATTAGGTATTCATTGTGAGTTTCTCCCTACCCTGACACCAATAGTACCTTGTCATCATTTGTGTTAGTATCTAGCGCTTCCCTGAAAATAGACTTAAGGAAGATGTCAGGGGCAGAAAACCCCTGGCAACCCAAATTTTAATGATTTTTTTGTGTGTGAAATAAGCATGTATGAGGATTCTAGATTAGGGTTCTGAAACCTCAATACTATTGACATTTTGGGTCCGAAAATTATTTTGGAAGACTGTTCTGGGCATTATAGAATGTTTAGCATCGTGCCTGGTTTCTACCCATTAGAGGCCAGTAGCAACCCCTAGTTGTGAAAACCTGGGGGGCAAAATCGCCCCTCCTTTTGAGAACCACAGTACTAGATTAACTTTCACACGGCCTTCTTCTAAAAGCTCTCTGCTAAAAATGACAACGATTGGAAAGACAGTATCTGGTTTGCCTTTTTCTGCAGAAGAAAAACTAGGAATCATGTAATCAAGATTAATAAAACTTGGCACAGTTTCCACTGCGAAAGGGACCAAGACTAAATGGGACATCGAAATTTAACAGGGATACTATCCTGACCTATCAGGAATCTGGGTTTCAAATATTAAGAATTAACCTACGGGGAGTTCCTCGGTGGTCTAGTGGTTAGGATTCGGTGCTTTCACTGCCATGACCCGGGTTCAATCCTTGGTCAGGGAACTGAGATCGCACAAGCTGCACGGCATGGCCAAAATTTTAAAAATAAATTAAACAAACAAAAAAAGAAATTAACCTTCATTTTTATACTATTTTCTTAGGAATTTTCTTACTATAAAAGGAATTATTTTTTTCTGGTAGGTATGGAAACTCACTGAATTGAGCTTCTTAGAAAATTAATTCCAGTTTTTCCTGTCATCTTTGTTTCTTTTTTGCTTATGAAATAGCCGTTCCGTTTTCTAAACTGAACACCCTAGTTTCTTGCTAAAGGATTAACTTTAAAAAACAAACAAACCCACTCATATTAGAAAACAGAACTTTAGGGAGGTGGTATTTATCCCTTACCACTTGTTGGTACTTGTTTACATTTTCTTGAAGTGTGTTAAGTAGAAAAGTGAAGATTCTTTCCATGTTCTGGGTTAACGTTTGCTGGATATCCCTTCGTCTTTGAGGGGGTAGCGTCTGAAAGGTCACTACGTCCTCTGCCAGTCGCAAAAGGATGAACATCACTAATTCTGTCTGTGTTTCCTATACCAATAGAGAAAAGGTAGTTAAATGAAACTGAAATATGCTTTTCATTATAAATATGACCAAAGGCTCTTTTCTGCTGACAAGACAAACAAACCAACCAAAAAAACCCTGAAGAGCAAACAAAAACAAAAACCTGAATTGGGGCTTCCCTGGTGGCACAGTGGTTGAGAGTCCGCCTGCTGATGCAGGGGACATGGGTTCGTGCCCCGGTCCGGGAAGATCCCACATGCCGCGGAGCGGCTGGGCCCGTGAGCCATGGCCGCTGAGCCTGCGCGTCCGGAGCCTGTGCTCCGCAGTGGGAGAGGCCACAACAGTGAGAGGCCTGTGTACCGCAAAAAAAACAACAAAAAAAAACCTGAATTGATACAGCTGTACTACATACCCCTTGTTTGGAAAGAATGTCCAATTCTATTAGCATGTCAGGCCAGTGCTGTGGCCACTCCCGCTTGATCATTTCTACTACAATTCGAGACAGAACATCTTTGATATGGTTCTCCTCTTCCAAAATGTTCAGTGTTCCCTGAAAAAGAATAAGAGATACTAAGAGGTCTGCAAGACTGAATTCAAGGGAAAAAACTGGGCTGCAAAAGTGTACGAAACTCAGGAGCAGGCCTACTTTTAAACTAAACAGAATAAACAAACCTGTTCTCCCTATCTGAGTCACCTGTCCTGAATTCTCACTGATCACCCTTCCCACTTAAAGCTTAACAGAGGGTTGCATCAGCTAATAAAATGGCTGTCTCATGCAGCAAGGAAGACATCACTGCTCTTCTCCTTTACAGACTGAAGAGACTCTCATAATGACTGTTTTCATTTTGTAAGAGGGCCAGGGTGGAAAAGTATGGAAATAAGGAACACACTGAGAGGCTGATAAAGTGGGACAATAAGGAGCAACTGAATATTTTGCCAAGAGTTCTAGTATTAGCAGATACAGAAAGACCATTACTGGGACTCTCTTCTGAAGTTTGATATCAAGACTAATGAATTATGACTTCTATCAAGTTTCCCCAGAATTAATAAAATACAAATCCTTAGCTAGCTAAGTTAATAATTTAGAAGGGAATTTTTTTTTTCTTCTATTAACAACACTAGACTTTGGGGACGTAAAGGGGTGTGAATTCCCATTTTCATGCCCTTTGTGAAACAGAACATAAAAGGCTATGGATTCTAAACATATTCAAAGTCATATTCTAACTCCTGAATCAAACTCATTCAGCATATTTTTTATTGCTCATATCATAAAGTAATTCACTTTAGAATAAAAGGCAACAAAGAGCAAAGTGTAATCTAATTTAGAATTGATGAATCTAAGACTCTTACTCATTTGCTGAAAATGTTTAATCTCTCTGCCCTGTCTTCATAATTTTAAAAATTATGAAAAGTCAACACAATTTAAAAAGTCAACACATAAGGGATCGATTAAATCCAGTTAAGAGAAACGTGATGAACTGTGATTTCTAGTGATGGTGGTTCTTTTCATCTTGAAGGTAACATTTAACATTATGTAAAGCATATGCTGTTTGACCTATGTAGGAGCAGTGAATTTTTACACAAATGCTACATTGGAAAAGTCACACTTTGTCTAAACTACCTCGGAAACACAAGACTTCCAACCAACCATTCCTTACATTTGCAATCAGCTCCATGACACTGTTCTTCAGATAGACCTTCTCCAATCGAGACATGCTGTTCCACCGAAACCTGGCCACCAAAATGCATAAAGTCAACAGAACTAAATTAGAAGTCTTCTCTTCAGAAGAGATTAGCTTTGATTCCTGTGTTAAAATTATGCTGGTGATTTCATTAAGAAACTATACTTTGGATTTTGGTATCCTTCAAAGAATGGACAGAAACAGTCCACATTTAACCAAAATGCTAACAGAAAAAAAGCCTTTTATATAGGCAGTCGTCCATTAATTAGAATCCACACAGGATCTGTGCACAGATGAGCTTTTCTCCTTGATTTTCTTGACAGACCAAAAGCAAATATGTACCTGGGACAACTGTAACAATGTAGCTGATTTTCAGAAAATAGAATCTGAAAACACTAACTTCCTTTCTGAACTGGCTTGAGTTCAGTAATTCCCAAATTACTGGAAAGTAATAGCACAATTCCAGAAAAACTGTGGCTAAATCTTAAAAGCTGATTCTTCTAAAAGGCACTGGGAGTAGGAGACTCAAGTTAGGAAGGGTTTTCAGTTATTCTCATATAATCTTGCTTAGAATTTGCCATTCACACTCAAACTTAAAAAAGAAGAAAAGAAATTAAAGGCATGTTGGCTAATCAGAGATTCATTTACCTATACACTGCATTATTCTAAAAAACCTCTGAGGTCTGCTGGCATATATTAGGAGCTCAATAAATGCTAGCTAAATGACTATGAGCTAATACTTGCAGAATGCTTAGTATGTACCATGCACTTTACACAGATGAAGAAACTTGAGAAAGGTTAAGTTCTGAATGAGAGCTCCCGTGAGGTTGTGATAACCTCTCAGGAATCATTCCTTTCTCCCTGGGGATTGCTCTTTTCTACTCACCTAAAGAGTACCTCTATGAGTTATACACTAAATAAAGATTTGCTCTCTCACACACTTCAGTGGTAAGGTCCAAAAGCTCCTTACTTGACAACGTGTTCCAGGATCTGAAGGCCAAAATGTCTGACGATGGCAATTTGTGTTTTCTCAGCCAACCGCAAGCCACAAGGGACACATATAGGGCACTTTTCTTTAAACTCCTCACAAAACTGAAAAGAAGAAAAGTTAGTGTTTCCCTTAGGAGCCAAGAGAGAGTGTGGACTAAAAAAAGAAAACTTCATCTTCAACTCCAACCTGAGCTGTATATATTTTTTTGCGGTACACAGGCCTCTCACTGCTGTGGCCTCTCCCGTTGCAGAGCACAGGCCCCGGACGCGCAGGCCCAGCGGCCATGGCTCACGGGCCCAGCCGCTCCGCGGCATGTGGGATCTTCCCGGACCAGGGCACGAACCCGTGTCCCCTGCATCGGCAGGCGGACTCTCAACCACTGCGCCACCAGGGAAGCCCCCCTGAGCTATATTTTTAAGCTGCAAAATCTGGATCAATATTATATGAATAAAGAACTGATATACATTCCTTTCACTTTGATAGTTCCAGATTTCCCATGCAATAGCCAATTAGTGTTAGAAAAAATAAATCTGACATAAATGAGTAAAAAATTGTTAGAGATACACCCCTGAAGTATACAGGTAAAATGACAATTTCTAGGATTTGCTGTAAAAACCTTTGGTGGGGGGAGGGATAAAGCAAATGTGGTAAAATCTTTACAGCTGCTGAGTTTAGGTGATGGGTATACACAAGACCATTGCAGTATTCTACTTTTGTGTATATCTTTAATATTTCATAGTAAAAGAGAAACTAATAGAACCCAAATATTTCTGATTCCAAATCCTGTGGCATACATCTATATATTGTAAAGTTTCCTCCAAGTGATGCTCACTCTACTTTATGAAGTTACATCTCTTAAAATACACACGGCACAAATATTTCTTCCTAGAGGTCATTTCTCACAGCCCACATACATTGTTTGATGGGCGAATAAACTCGAATTGTACTAGCATCCCCAGTGGTTTTGTATTAGCATTCCCAAATTACACCACAAGAGTCAGTCCCGGTAGCAGAGCATCCTACTGTCAAGAAAACTACTTTCAGGAAACCAAAAGACCCTTGTTAAAATGCAAAGTAAGTGGTAGAAGTTCATCTTTGCGCAAAACAGCCTAAGAATATCACACAATAAAAAACATGGAGGGGTGGGGTGAAAATTAGGCCAGAAAGACCCAAGACACAGAAGTGGGTTATGGAGAGGTGTAAGGGTATTAAGTAAAGGGGCACTAGAGGGGCTGGAGCTCGGTTAGGGCGGGTCAGGAGTGGGTCAGCAAGGAAACGTTTAGTGCAGCGGAGACTATAAAGAATGTGGCCGGTGTTGGGGACGGGTTGGACACGTGCGCCACGGGAAAGCGAGGGGATGCAGGGATGTGGGGTTTGGGGGAATAAAGTGGGTGCAGCACGCTGTGGAGGGGGTCGTGGTACGGCGAAGAGTAAACAGAAGTGGCGAGGGGGGAGGAGAGGGCAGTGGGAAGTGGTGGTGAGATGAGACGGCCACAGAGAGCTAGGGACGACAGCGTCCCGGGAGAAGGGCACGCGCGGCGACCACAGAAGGCGGCGAGTGGGAAGAGGCGCGGAAAGCGGCGAGGGGAGTGCCCCCGGGGGTTGGGGACAGAGGTCCAGGGGCCGCGTGGGCGGGAGACGGCCAGGGTCGTGGGCTGCGCCGGTACTGCTGGGGCTGGGGGAGGGTCTCGGAGCAGGCCCGAGGCGACAGACTCCAGCTACCTTGAGGGCTTCTAGCCGGTAGCGCTGGGTGGAGCTGGGGTCCATCATGATCGTCACCGCTTTCACCAGCTGCTCGCACAGCGCGTTCACTTGATCCATCGACATGACTAGTGCCACGCGCCGCAAGCGCGCACAACGGACGTCCCGGAAGCACGAGGCACGGATCGCTCCGTTGGCGGGACCACACGCTGATACCCGGCCGCGGCGGGCTTAAGGGGGACGGTGGGGAGCGGAAGGAGGAGCGGGAGCCGCAGAAGACCCAGCCGGGAAAAAGCCAGCGCTGCGCACGCGCCCGACCCTCCAGTACGCATGCGCCCGCGGAAGTGGCGACTTCCTTTTGACGGCTGCTCCTTGGTGGGCGGAGCGAGAGACTTAGGAGCCGCGGTGCGCAGGCGCGTCAACGGCCCTCGGCGGCGCGCGCGGCGAATAATTGTCGGGAAGGCTGTGAGCCGATCTCGGTGGCTAAGGCTGGAGCCGCCCGGCTGTGCCGGCTGCTGCCACGGCGAGGATCGTCTGCGCGCTTAGGTCCTTTTCTCCGTCGTTGCCGGGAATAAATCTCTCTCGAAACCGACTGATCCGTTCCCGGAAAGGGGACGGATATTCAAGACCGGTTCATCGTTCTTCCAGTGGACACCCGAGTCCAGCATCGGTGGCGTCCGCTGGTGGCGGTTTTGCCAAGTGTTGTCACATTGGTAAGAGAATTTAGAACCGTTCTGTTTCTCTGTTTTTAGACTTTTCACGTTGCCTTGGCTATTGGTTGTATAATATAGCAGTGACTGGGGACAACATTGGGCCGAAATTACATGAAATAGAAATACTTGCTCACAGAGAGAAAAGGCCTTGGTATTACCTCTTAAGAGGATTTTTCTTGTGGAAAGAAAGTGGTAGCTCTTAAACCTCCCTCTTCACCTGTAAGTATTTTCCTTGGGTATGTTATCACCTGATTGGCACCAAACTTGTAAAGATTGGGGTAAATCGAGATCGTTAATGATGAATAATTGCAAATACCGAAGGTTTGTACAGTTTTGATCATTTGAAGTGCTATATATATCATATATATGAAATATATATATGTATATCATATATGTATATAATATTTATATGACTTCAAAATAGTGTAATCCTTATTCCCAAAGGAGGGTTTTGGCAGAGAGTATGTTTCATTTTTCATCTTTAAAAAACTCTTGGGCCTCCCTGGTGGCGCAGTGGTTGGGAGTCCACCTGCCGATATAGGGGACGCGGGTTCGTGCCCCGGTCCGGGAGGATCCCACATGCCGCGGAGCGGCTGAGCCCGTGAGCCATGGCCGCTGAGACTGTGCGTCCGGAGCCTGTGCTCTGCAGCGGGAGAGGCCACAACAGTGAGAGGCCCGCGTACCACAAAAAAACAAAACAAAACAAAAAAAACCTCTTGCTTTCTCCAGCAAAATACATAAACTGAAAACTAAAACAGTTAAAATCTGAATATCCGTTTTGGTGTTGTGTATTTAGGAAATGTTTGCCCTACTTAAATCACTGCTCCCTGTTCATACTCCACTTATAGTGTTTGTATCTAATATAGTACTTACTTGGGTGTGTGTGTGTGACAATGCATTTACTATTTTTAATTTGGTGTTATCTGTTCCAGGACTGTACAAAAGCCACTTCAAGGTAAAGTGATTTCTGGCATGTTATGGTTTTAACTTATAAATGTTTAAAGTATTACCTTCTGCCTGTTTTAGGTGAGTGGAATTTGTAAGGAATTAATGCCTTGAATACTCTGATTTTTTGAATTCATCATTTTCTTTTCCCTAATCTTCCAGCTTTGTAGTTGCATGACACTTTTTTCAAGGTGAATGTTAATTTTTGACACTTTTTAAAAAAAAATACAGTTGAGTGCTTACTCAACTGTATAACCTGTGTTCTCTCATATTTAAATCATGAATTACTGTGTTTCCACAAATATCTTATTTACTTTAAGTCAGTGGTTTTCAATCTCTGCTTTTAAAAATCATGAGAGAGAGAGAGAGAGCTTTAATAAGCTTTTAAAAATCATGATGGCCAGGTCACACCCATACCAATTAAGTTACATGTCTGGTGGTAGAAGCCAGAAATCAATAGTATTAAAGGTTCCTAGGTGATTCTAATCTGTAGCAAAGTTTGCAGAGCCACTGCTTTAGTTTACTGAATCCTTCTTTTAGATTTCTAACAATGGTAAATGAAAACGTTAGTCCGTATTCACTGTGTATAAGGTTTGTTCTTTCAGTCTAGCATCCATACCTTTAATATGTCTGTCTACAAATAGTATGTACTATTGTTTTCTTTTTGTCTTCAAAAATTTACATGAATGGGTAGAAAATCACCTTTAGAACATCACAAAGTAATTGTGACAGGCCAGATCCACTGATGGGTGCTTAGTGGTTGAAAGTTTGAGGAGAAACAGGGTATTTGCATAGTCTCAAAGTATCTCTCCTAAGAAAGGAAAAAATAGTAACTTTACAGTGAGAAACCTAGCAAACACTATCTCAACTAAATGATATGCTTAACATCACCAGTATTAACACACAGCAACATCATGTACCTCCCAACATGATACACTGAGAAAAGCAGAACCCTTCCATAATATTCTTGCTAAAAATGCATAACCTCAGTCTAATCAAGAGAAAACGTCAGACAAACCTAAACTGAGAGACATTCTCAAAGCAACTGAGTAGTTCCCTTCAAAAGTGTCAAGGTCATGAAAAACATGAAGTGTCACAGATTGGAGAAGACTAAGGAGACGTGATGGCTAAGACTGGATCTTAAGCTGGATCCTGGAACCAAAAGTGAACATTAGTGGAATAACTGGTAAAATTCAAGTAAAGTTTGTAGTGTGAATATTATACTAATGTTCATTCTTTAGTTTTGATAATTGTGCTGTATAAAATGTTAGCATTAGGGGAAACTGGGTATAGGAGAACCCTACTATATTTGCAACTTTTCTGTAAGTGTAAAAGTATTTCAAAATAAAAAGTTTTAAAAATTCACATGAATGCTTTGATATTATATATCATTTTCTGCTTCTCTTTTTCCTGAACTTATATTTGAGATTTGTCTGTCAACTAGATTAACTGTTGACTTTATCCCTCCATTGACGTGCATTGTGGGGTTTTTTTTGTGGTACGTGGGCCTCTCACTGTTGTGGCCTCTCCCGTTGCGGAGCACAGGCTCCGGACGCTCAGGCTCAGCGGGCATGGCTCACGGGCCCAGTCGCTCCACGGCATGTGGGATCTTCCTGGACCGGGGCACGAACCCGTGTCGCCTGCATCGGCAGGCGGACTCTCAACCACTGCAGGGAAGCCTGCGTTGTGGTTTTAATTTTCATTTCCCTATGACTAATGATGTTGAGCCATTTTCATGTGCCTGTTGACTATTTGTATATCTTCTTTTGTGAAGTGTTCAATTCTTTGGGGGGATGGGTATTCTTTAAAGCTTTCAATATTTACTACCTTTCTAAAGTTATATCAGTTTATTATTTTCCTGCCAGCAGTATATGAAAATGCCTGTTTCATTATTGTTAGTTTCCATGTTCCCATGCTTATGGTAATTCAACAATGGAAGAATGGAAGTATAATTTTCTTTGGCACTTTTTTTTTTTTTTTTTTTTTTTTTTTGCGATATGTGGGCCTCTCACTGTTGTGGCCTCTCCCATTGCGGAGCACAGGCTCCGGAGGCACAGGCTCAGCAGCCATGGCTCCCGGGCCCAGCCACTCCGCGGCATGTGGGATCTTCCCAGACCGGGGCACGAACCCGTGTCCCCTGCATCGGCAGGCGGACTCTCAACCACTGCGCCACCAGGGAAGCCCCTCTTTGGCACTTTTTATTCAATATCCTTTCTAACTGTCCATAAAATATTGTCTTACAGAAAAATGGCTAATGGACAAGACCGGGTAATTACTCTAGTGGACATGGACTGTTTTTTTGTTCAAGTGGAACAGCGGCAAAATCCTCATTTGAGGAATAAACCTTGTGCAGTTGTACAGTACAAATCATGGAAGGGTGGTGGGTATGTATCATAGTTATTGTTGTAATTCTCAACTACTGTTAATCTATAAGAATACATGGCACTATGCTAGGTCCTGTTTTGGGGGGTTCTGAACTGCTATGTTTGAGAATGAATAGTAGCATCAGTGACCAAAAAGTTTCTACTATTATGTTTATAACCTATTCATCATGTTAAATTTTAATTATTTTTGCTTGTGATCATGTAATATTTTTCTGTTCCCCTTTTTTCCTAACCTTAGAATCGTTGCAGTAAGTTATGAAGCTCGTGCATTTGGGGTCACTAGAAACATGTGGGCAGATGATGCTAAGAAGTTATGTCCAGATCTTCTACTGGCACAAGTTCGTGAGTCCCATGGAAAAGCTAACCTCGCCAAGTAAGAAGAAAAGCTTGTTTAAGGGGAATGGAAGAGTTGGAAGCATTTCATGAGGCTAGGAACTCATGTTTCTAATTCGTTTTATGTAAATAACATCTGAAAAAGTTCCCTTTAGTCAGCTAAATTTTCAGTGTGGAATGAAAACAGATTTTAATATTGCGTTTTAGGAACAGTTCAGAATCATTATTACCTATAATAATTGCCACGCTTAATACCCTTTCAGTTCCTTAATTATTTAACAATTGGTTGTTATAATTAAAACTTAATTCCACTTCCCATGTTCTCAGGCCAAAAGTCTGAAATGTTTGACGTAATTAAATTGACTGTGAAACTAATAAGAGTTTTTCCAGAGAAGGCTGAGTCAAACTCACATTCTAGTGCAATATCTAGAATTATTTGCCAGAATTGAACAGTCCCAAAGAAGCTTAATTTCTCTGTTTTTGAACTGAGCTATCTCTGCCCAGATTTTAGAAAGTTAGCCTTGGAATGGGAGGCATTAGTATAGGCATAGCCAAGTTAGAGGTAGATACAAGCCCCAGTCATTATAATAATCCGAATAACTAGTGTATAGTGAACATATGTCATATGCCAGGCACTGTTAAATTCTTCATTGGCAGTGTCTCTTAAATCTCACATCGTTATAAGGAAGGTTCTAGTATTATCCCCCCCCACCCCCCCACACATACAGATGAGGGACCAATTTAGGGAGGTTAAATAATTTAAGTTCGCACAGTTAGGAAGTGGAAGACTGAGGATTCATTTTCAGATCTCCACGTTCTCACAGTACACTATACTGTGTGGGGTGGTGTGTATAGGGAACATGCTTTGACTTGGGACTTGAGATATTCCTGAATTCACCTATCAATTAGAAGTCTAAAGGTGGAGTGTCATAGCCAACCTCACATTGGGATTATTGCCAGAAAAGAAGACAGATTTGACTGAAGATTAATACTGTAACCCTAAGGTAGAATTAATTCAGCTAATGGGTATATGCTACGTTGTATTGAATAGAATTTTATGCTGGGAAAGACAGTGTAACTTCCCAGAAATATAGTTGACTTCAGAGTGTGATTTTGAAAAGCCACATGCCACCAACTTAAAACTGGATCATTTATTTTACTCTTAAAATCTTCATCAAATAATGAACAAAGGCAGTTTTAGAAAATTTAGGAATAAGTTTATAGACCAGAGAGTTATTAAGAAAGACCTGGTAATTTAAAATTATTATTTTAATAATTAACCTGAGATGCCAGGTTATAAAAATAAAAATATGATTTGCAGAAACATATATATACTTAGTTTATCAAATATTCTTAAAAATACCTTGGAGTGATTATACTTAAGAGTCTGTGAAAGAACACCAACTACTGCAATAGATCATCCTTTCCTTGCTCTGTATGTGTGTGAGTATATTGCGCTCTCATGCTCTTAGGTACCGGGAAGCCAGTGTGGAAGTGATGGAGGTAATGTCTCGTTTTGCTGTGATTGAACGTGCCAGCATTGATGAGGCTTATGTAGACCTGACCAGTGCTGTACAAGAGAGACTGCAAAAGCTCCAAGGTCAGCCTCTGTCAGCAGACTTATTGCCAACCACCTACATTGAAGGGTTGCCCCAAAGCCCTACAACAGCAGAAGGGACTGTTCAGAAAGGTACTTGCATAGCATCATATTGCTTCTGCTTCCTGCCTTTGGAACCTGCTTTGCTTGGTCACACTGCTCCTCCTTGGATTGATTGAAAGGAAACTTAAACTACAACGTGAATGAATCACAAGGACTCACATGGAAGGATATACAAATTCTTTTATCTTTCCAGGTATATGGATGTTGAGAAGCTGTGAAATCTGTATTAACATCAAGTTTCTCTTGAGACATAACTAGAGCAGGTTAAAGTTATCAGTAGAAGGCTGACTGCGCACTTCCATTATTTGTAGGTTAATTTATATTATTGTAACTTGGTTCATAAGAAGAGTGAGCTTTTTTTTTTTTTGCGTTACACGGGCCTCTCACTGTTGTGGCCTCTCCCATTGCGGACCACAGGCTCCGAACGCGCAGGCTCAGCGACCATGGCTCATGGGCCCAGCCACTCCGCGGCATGTTGGATATTCCCAGACAAGGGCATGAACCCGTGTCCCCTGCATCGGCAGGTGGACTCTCAACCACTGCACCACCAGGGAAGCCCGAAGAGTGAGCTTTTTTAAGGGGACCTAAACAACAGGGAGTTGAATTACTCAAAATTTCTAATCATTTCTCAGGATAATGTCATCGATGGGCTGTTCAAGGCCTCTCTCATTTTACTTTACTTATTTTACTTCTTTTTCCCTTCATAGTGATTCCCCCTTCTCCCTTCCTACCCCACAAACCCTCTGGCACTCACTGATGTATATCTTCTTAAATATGTATATGCCTTTATAAATTGTACAGTGTTGCTTTGTACATGTGCTTTTAATTATTTTTATTTGTCTGCTATTATCATTTTTCATTTATTTTTTATTTATTTATTGAAATATAGTTGATTTACTATTATATTACTTTCAGGGGTACAACATAGTGATTCAATATTTTTATAGATTATACTCCATTTAAAGTTATTATAAAATAATTGCTGCATAATATATCCTTATTGCTTATTTATTTTATGCACAGTATTTTGTATCTCTAAAACCCCTACCCCTATCTTGCCCCTTCCCCTCCCCTCTCCTCACTGGTAACCACTAGTTCTCTATATCTGTGAGTCTGTTCCAGTTTTGTTGTATTAATTCATTTATTTTTTAGATTCCACATATAAGTGATAACACAGTGTTTGTCTTTCTCTGTCTGACTTATATAACGTGTGCTTTTAAAACTTGTGCTTTTTAAGCACATGAAAAGGTACTCAACATCACTAATTATTAGAGAAATGCAAATCAAAACTACAATGAGGTATCACCTCACACTGGTCAGAATGGCCATCGTCAAAAAATCTACAAACAACAAATGCTGGAGAGGGTGTGGAGAAAAGGTAACCCTCCTACACTGTTGGTGGGAATGTAAATTGGTACAACCACTATGGAGAACAGTATGGAGGTTCCTTAAAAAACTAAAAATAGAACTACGATATCGGGGCTTCCCTGGTGGCACAGTGGTTGAGAATCCGCCTGCCAATGCAGGAGACACGGGTTTGATCCCTGGTCCGGGAAGATCCCACATACCTTGGAGCAACTAAGCCTGTGTGCCACAACTACTGAGCCTGTGCTCTGGAGCCCGCGAGCCACAATTACTGATCCTGCATGCTGCAACTATTGAAGCCCGTGCACCTAGAGCCCATGCTCCACAGCAAGAGAAGCCACCACAGTAAGAAGCTGTGAACCACAACGAAGAGTAGTCCCCGCTCGCTGCAACTAGAGAAAGCCCACGTGCAGCAATGAAGACCCAACACAGCCAAAAATAAATAAATAAAATAAATAAAGTTAAAAAAAAAAGAACTACCATATGACCCAGTAATCTCACTCCTGGGCATACACCCAGAAAAAACCATAATTCAAAAATATACTTGCACCCTAGAGTTCATTGCAGCACTATTTACAATAGCCAGGACATGAAAGCAACCTAAATGTCCGTCAACAGAAGAATGGGTAAAGAAGATGGGGTACATATATACAATGGAATATAACTCAGCCATAAAAAAGAACAAAATAATGCCATTTGCAGCAACATGGATGGACCGAGAGATTGTCATACTGTGTGAAGTACGTCAGACACAGAAAGACAAACATGATATCGCTTATATGTGGAATCTAAAAAAAAAAAAAAAAGGTACAAATGAACTTATGTACAAAACAGAAGTAGCATCACGAATGTAGAAAACAAACTTATGGTTACCAGGGGATAAGGTGGTGGGGGAGGGATAAATTGGGAGATTGGGACTGACATATACACACTACTATATATGAAATAGATAACAAATAAGAACCTGCTGTATAGCACAGGGAACTCAATACTCTGTAATGACATGGGAAAAGAATCTAAAAAAAAAAGAGTGGATGTATGTGTATGTGTGACTGATTCACTTTGCTGTACACCTGAAACTAATACAACATGTAAGTTAACTATACTCCAATAAAAATGTTTACAAAAACGATGCAGTTGAGTACAAACTGCATTAATTTGCTGTGAAACAATGTTTAAAAAAATTTGTGCTTTTTAATTACATGATAGTAGTTATTATAGGTCTCATTCTTAATTTTCTTTCATTGCTGATTTTATACATCTATTCATGTAGCTGTATTTATGTGTAATTGATTTCTTTTAATTGCAGCATAATCCGTAGTATGGATCTACCATGTTTACAGACCCTTCTCCTGCTGATGAGCTCATTGGTTGCTTCTCACGTCCTTCTGTTTATATGATAAATGTCCTCATTAATCCTCTTGGACATATGCAAGGGTTTCTCTGGGAAGTATTTTCAGGAGTGGACTGCTAGATTATAGGGTATACACATATACTTAGTTTCACTAAATACTGCCAAATTGCTCCCCAGAATAACTGTAACAATTTTCCCTACCTCTGACAATACACAAGAATTCCTGTTTCCTCCATATCCTCACCAGCAATTGGTATTATCTAATATTTTAAAGTACCTGCCAATGTGATGGCTATAAAGGGGTATTTTATATTTTGGGGTTTGTTTTAATTTATACTTCTCTTTACTAATTGAGGTTGAGCTTCTCTTCATATACTTTTTAGACAATTGAGTTTCTACTTTTGTGAATTGTTTATTTATAATCTTCACCCAATTTTCCATTGGATTTCTGCCGTTTTTCTTTCTTTTTTTTTTTTTTGCTGTATGCGGGCCTCTCACTGCTGTGGCTCTCTCCCGTTGCGGAGCACAGGCTCCGGACGCGCAGGCTTAGCGGCCATGGCTCACGGGCCCAGCCGCTCCGCGGCATGTGGGATCTTCCCGGACCGGGGCACGAACGCATGTCCCCTGCATCGGCAGGCGGACTCTCAACCACTGCGCCACCAGGGAAGCCCCCTTGTCTGTTTTTGACTCTTCAAATATCTTTTCCCAAGTCTGTCATCCATTAACTGTTTTGTTTTTGGTTTTTTTTTTGCGGTACGCGGGCCTCTCACTGTTGTGGCCTCTCCCATTGCGGAGCAACAGGCTCCGGACGCGCAGGCTCAGTGTCCGTGGCTCACGGGCCTAGTCGCTCCACGGCATGTGGGATCTTCCCGGACCGGGGCACGAACCCGTGCCCCCTGCATCGGCAGGCAGACTCTCAACCACTGTGCCACCAGGGAAGCCCCCATCCATTAACTTTGTTTATGCTCTTCTTTGTTGTACAAATTCTTTTAGTCCTTCAGTTTTTCACCTTATGGTTTGTGTATTTTGAATCTCATTTTAGACATCCATTTCTACCAGATGTTCCTAAAGACATTTTTCTACATTTTCTTCTATTGTCTGCTTCTGCTTCAGAAACACATTATTTTTATTAGTTTGTAGTATGTCATAATATTTGATAAGGACCCCCCCTCTGCTTTTGTTTTTCAAAATTGTCTTGGCTATTTATGCACCTTTATTGTTCAATATATGTTTTAGAATACATTAGTTTAATTCTTCAAAAAATCCTGGGAGTTACATTAAATTTACATATTTAGAGAGGATAGTTATCTTAATGCTAAGTTATCCCATCCATAAACATTTCACTAATTTTTTAGGTCTTCATTTATGTCCCTTTTAGTGATTTTTGTTTATTTTTTAAAATTTATTTTATTGAAGGATAGTTGATTTACAATGTGTTAATTTCTGCTGTACAGCAAAGTGACTCAGTAAGACATATATATAATTCCTTTCATATTGTTTTCCTTTATAGTTTATCACAGCATATTGAGTATAGTTCTCTGTGCTATACAGCAGGACCTTGTTGTTTATCCATTCTATATACTATAATAGTTGTATCTAATAATCTCAAACTCCCAATCCATGCCTCCCCCTGCCCTTGACAACCACAGGTCTGTTCTCTATGTCTGTAAGTCTGTTTCTGTTTTATAGATAAGTTCATTTGTGTCATATTTTAGATTCCACATACCTTTTAGTGATTTAAAAAAAAATTTTTTTAATAATTTTTTGGAACAAGTTGCTTTTATTTTTAAAAATATTTATTTATTTATTTATTTAGGCTGCACCAGGTCTTAGTTGCAGCACGTGGGATCTTTGTTGCACTGTTTAGTTGCGGCATGTGGGATCCTTAGTTGCTGCATGAGGACTACTTAGTTGCGGCATGTGAACTACTTAGTTGTGGCATGCACTCATAGTTGCGGCGTGCATGTGGAATCTAGTTCCCTGACCAGGGATTGAACCCGGGCATCCTGCATTGGGAGTGAGGAGTCTTACCAACTGGACCACCAGGGAAGTCCCCCTTTTAGTGACTTTTTATATTAAAATTTTTGATTTATATTTCTGCTTCTTCTGAAATCTAGAATCCAGTATGTTTTCCTTTTTCTTTCTCATCTAAACTTTTAATTGATATAATATACATAAAGTATATAAATTGTATGTGTACACCTTGAGTGATTTCACAAAGCAAACCCACTTCTGTAAGCAGCACCCAAATCAAAAAATGTCAGAATTCTAGAAGCCACCCTTGCCTACCCTCCCAGTCATTATCTATTCC